GTCAGTTTTATGTTATTTGATATGGTAACATGAGTGGGCCTGGCATGGCCAGGTGGGTAAGACACTCGTCTCGCAATCTGCGGGTCGCGGGTTCGCACCCCCATCCCACCAAATATGCTTGCCCTTTTAGCTGTTGGGGCATTATAATGTGACGGTCAATCCCACTATTCGTTGGTAAAAGAGTAGCCCAAGAGTTGGCGGTGGATGGTGATGACTAGCAGCCTTCCCTCTAGTCTTACACTGCTAAATTAGGGGATGGTTGGCATCAGGAAGGGCATCCAGCCGTAAAAACCCTGCCAAAACCGAAAATAGTGACCCCGTATAGATACGGGAAAAAGCTACGGAAGTAAAAAAAAAAGATATGGTAACATGAGTGCACGTGAGCCGTATCATTGTGACTTCTGTATTGTTAGCCAGGCACAGCTGAAAGGTCGATATAATAAAAATAATGAATATATATAACTGTATAATGTTATGAGATTTAAGCTATTTAGTTGAAACATTTATGTTTTTGTGTTATAATTTGTGTTCATTCTAGAATGAAAGAGGCAAAATTTATATTCCTATGGTGGTTGCGAGATCGGTCAAATCTACCGTACCCATACAGAGATTAATTACTGAAAATAACAGATAAAATATACATTTTTTTTTCATGAGAAACATTTGATAACTTTCTGGACATTATAAAGATTAAGTATTTTTAATCTTAAAATGAAAATTATTTTGCATGTTAGATAGGCAACATGCAAAAAAAAATAGATGAAAAAAAAACATTGCTTTAAAAACCTTAAGACTTAATAAAAAATAATTAATATTTTACATATGAAAGCATTGTAATGTTTACTGATAATCTGCCAAATTTCGTTATAATTCGCTTACTACTTTAAAAGTTATAGCATGAATACTATAACAAGCACAAAATGGTTACGAGGTCAGTCCCAGGGATTGAGCCTATGCTGAAAGAGTTAAGTAGTTGTACTCTTTATCCCATCTTGTCTGAGATGACTGTATTATTGTATTTTCTGTCTGTAGTAAAATTTTGTATCTCATTAAATGCTTTTATATATGTAAATATTAATTTTTTTTACAGAATATCGATGATTCTCCTTATTTTAACAAATTTCTATATGATTAAATTTTTGTTATTGGATCTGAATGTTTTATAAACTGTTCTTTAAGGAATGAAATGTTAGTTACTTATTCAGAAAGTATGGATATCTTTCTTTTGATAAAGTAGAGGTTTTGTCCACTATCACTATTTTTGACTATTTAATTTTTTTGTCTTTGCTAGCAATCATATGAAGAGTTTGATGGCTATGTCATTCTTCATGGTACGGATACTTTGGCTTACACGGCATCAGCACTCTCTTTCATGTTGGAGAACTTAGGAAAGACAGTTATTGTTACTGGTTCTCAGGTTTGTTCAGATGTTACCCTATGTTTTGATGTATTTTTTGTGCCATATATGTGTTAAATTAAAAATTTTAAAAGCTATTGAGTTTTAAATGATACTGTATACTTTCTCTATATGTGTTATGATAACCACAATAGACTCCTCTTTCCATAGTACAGTACCAAATATATGATTACTATTGCATGGGTATAAGTAATTTCAGTAAGCATAAAACTAGCAGTATGTTAGGTGTGTTAACAGAGTGACTGTCATTTTCTAAAATATATTTAGTTCTTGTAACATTTATGAAACATAAAAGCATTATATCTACTATTACGTTATTGGATGATAATGTGAGATGTTCCCTGTCTGGTTATGTCAGAGAAATCTTTGTTTTGGTCTAATACACACTTATTATAAAACAATATAACTCAAAGGAAAAAACAAACTGCATAGGAGATGTAAAGCCAAGCTCATTAATAGTCCATTTTATGATTAATTTCATAGATTCCCCTGTTTGAGCCACGGAGTGATGGACGAGAAAATTTTCTCAGTTCACTTATCATTGCAGGAAATTACATAATTCCTGAGGTAGGGATTTTATCAAAATATTTAAAATCTGTTTTTAATCATTGCTTCAAGAGTAAAAATGAAACTTGATTTTGACTCCAAAGTATAATATTTGTGTTTATTTTCAAGAAAGTAACAGTTTTTATTACTAGTGATCAGGTAATTTTTAAAGTTTAGACTATACAGTATCGATGATACTTAATAGAAAACAATACATAGTTATTATCTGTTTTCATTATGTTAACATAGCATTCTCTTGAAACTTGCTGACAGCCAAATTTCATGTTGTAAGTTTTGTAGCAGATGTATTTTTTGTTTTTTACTTGAATGTTTTGATATTCTTTCATCCAAGTATTTTGTACCTGAGTTTTATGTATTACAGGTTACTGTCCTCTTCAACAATCAACTCTTTCGAGGCAACCGAACAAGTAAAATTAGCACCAGCAGCTTGGATGCCTTTGCATCTCCAAATATGGCACCCCTTGCAACTGTTGCCATTAAAATACATGGTAAAATAAACAATTTTTTTTTACTATTGATAATCAGAATCCTGGAATTACAGGTACATAGTGTAGTAGAATCTTAACAGACAAAAATAAGATAAATTAAACTCAATTGTGATTGAATAGTTATACATATCACTATATGTTAATTCTTGCCTGTGCTATTATCTAGGGATGATGCAAATACCATCCATATTATCTTGTTTGCATTCTTTTTGAAGGATTGATATTAGCCATCCCTACAATTACTTCCTTTTTTTAAAAAAAAATTTTTCCTTTAATTCTTTGCTTGTTTTTTTTATGTAGTATTTCAATAAACATAGGAAGGCTGTACGTATAACAAAGTTCTAAGTACAGTGAGGTTTTAACTGTAATATTTATTGTTTATCTATTATTGGTTGATAATTCCTGGTTCATCCTGTACTTAAAATGTTTAAAGGAACATCAAATTCTCTAAGAAAGCTAACTTCAAAGGGTAATGATAATATTGTTTACACTAGAATTGATTTTTTCTAATTACTACTAGTTAATAATACTTATAAAAGCAAATACTCTGTTTGAAACTAAGTCACCTCAGTGAAACTGATTGATACCATTGTTTTGGTTTTAGAGTTATCATGTAATAAAAAAGAAGAACAAGAAATTCAAATTTTTTGCTATGTTATTTACAGATATTCCCAAAACTTTTGATTCGGTCATTACATAGATATTTTTATAAAAGGAAACACTGTACAGTATTGTAAAGTTTTGATGACCTGCTAGAGAGAGATTTAAAATGTCATTTCAATGAACAGTCTGAGCCATCCCTTCGTAGGCAGTGTTACTGCCTGCTTGATATTTGATTACTGGTTTAACTTTATTTCTCATCCATATAGGTAGCTTGGTTTGATCAGACCTTAATGAAAAGTTTTGTTTGGGAAAATAAATATATATACAGACATACTACTTAAGGTTTGACAGGTTTGCTGATACTTTAAATGATTTTACTTGTGAAAACAGTACATTTTTGGATTGTTTTACTAGTATGTTTTTCTTTTCACATTTATGATTTAAGAAGTAACTCGTGAATGTAGAGCAACTAATAAGTATTATAAATATGCATAAAGTAAATATTTCTATTCAGTACTTAGTTAGCTTAAATCAGTTATCATTAAAAGTAATTCCAACAGAATTGTCTTCTTGTATATGGGAATGAATTTTAAAAGTTTTTCTTCAACTAAAGTCCTGTATTTCTGTCATAGAAAGTGTGCAGAAGCTTTGAAATGTTCACTATGCCAAATATGGTATTTTGGTTCATTTGGATGAATATCAATGTTGCTGAGATTTTTGAGGGAAATTATTGAACTTTGCACAAAAAATGCAGATTCCGCCAGAAGAAAATGATTTTATTCTATTAAAAGACCATGTATAGAAAGAGAATTTACTGTTCAGGAAAGCAAGATGCAAAAGGGATGGCTGCCAGTAGTGACAAACTTGTTTATCATAATGATACTGAAGCAAGGCAGCTATTATTCTAATGAATTTCAGTTTCAACAGTATGAATATATATTTAATGCATGCACTGTTTAAACCATTGTTTAACATGGTATTATTAAGTATACTGTGTATATAGGCTTTATGGTTAGATGCAAAAAAAAACATTTATATACTAGTCTTTAATTGTGCATGTATTCAATTAATCCTTTACTGAATGCACTCAAAGTAATTGAAAATGTGCTCCTGTTCTTAGATTTTTAGGTTAATATATTATGAACTGTAAGAATGTTTAATAAGTAGTTACAAAGAGAATGTCAGTCATGTATTTTTTTAGAGTAATTATTTAATTGATTTCACATGTGAAAAGTTTATCATTGTTAGTCTTCATAGTAAAGTCTGTTTTCATGTAAGAAGATGTTTAAAGGAAATAGCACTGAAGAAATATTCAAAACAGGAAGAGTCAATAACTTATAGCTAATATTCATCTCTAAGAACTTTGAGAATAACAAGCCAACAGTCTTTCACCTTAAGTTTATGGATCCCCTTTCTGTGCATGTCACTAGGTTTTACTGCATAATGGAAAGGCTTAGTAATCTTGAAAAATATAACACAAACTTTACCTCAGTTAATGAGGCTTAGCGTAGTACGTGAGTGTAGCAACATTCTGCAGAAGACTAAATTGTCTGTGATACCATAATATTGTCCAAGGTTGCCTGCTGATGTTTGTCCTGATAAATAACATTAAGGACAGAAAAGGAAAATAAAATATAAAAAAGTAAAGTATATATGCAAATGTAAAGATATGCAATTAAGAATCTTACCAAAAAAAAGATATTTTAAGATTATTCAATGAGAAACTAAAAGGTATATAAATTTTTTCTATTTCTTAATTTTAAAGATTTCATTGCACTATATGTTGATGATACTACTTGAAATATTCCGAATCAGAGTGCAGATAAGTACAATACAAAAATAAAAAATTTTTTATTAAAATATATAATTAAAGTAATCTCATTCTTTATGTACAAAATACTTGTAATCTTACCATTTGTTATGAAGATATGTTAAAAAAGCTCAGTTATCATAAGTATTGTTGAACTGTATATCATTCTCCATAGGTGCAAATACCAAATAATCTAAGCTTGTAAACTTTCAGTTAATGAATTTATTGTTCAGCATACTAACCATAAAAACTGTATACTACAGTTTAATATTTTTCAGTGGTTTCTAACCATGGAGAAGTGTAGTGTTGGGAGTTCTATTTTTTCCCAGTTTCTTTCCTTCTACCAACTGACTACTAATTGTACAGGAACTGAGTACTGTTTGTATTTACTGACAGAAGTAGGCTTGTTAGGAGACATAATGAAAGTGAAAAATTGGTTGTGTGGTTAACAAATAAATATATATATATATAACATTAAGATGGAAAGTTGATTTTAACAATGATCTCATATCTTGAAGTCTGTTTTTGTATTGCTTTTGTAATAGATTTATGGAAATATATTTCAGAACAGTACTGTTTTAAGTTTACAACTGTTTTTTACAGTAAATTGGCAAAACATTTTCCAACCTACAACAATTGAAAAGTTCCGTGTCCATGACAAGTTAAATCAGCATGTGGGTCTTTTGCGACTTTTCCCCAGTATAACTGTCGAAGTGGTAAGATATTTTAACTACAGTTTCAACAGAAAAAATACAAAAATAAAACTATGTGTTGAGCTCCATAAAGTTCATTCATTTCACTTCAGATTTATTTTAAATACATATTTTTAGTTTTGATATATTTTATGCAACTTGTTTGAAATGTTGTCTAAAAGGTGAATATGTGCATATCGCCTGAGTAAACAAATCACTGTATAATGCTGTGTCTGACATTTTGTTTTTAGCTATTCCAAATGCAATGTTATCTGTACTAATGTTTTTAAACATTTAGCATATAAGAAGAATTCTATAAATCAACATTCAAATACACATTTCATAAAACTCATCTCCTGTAGTTATATACTTGAATGTAATCTTATTTCCTTTTATGTATATTTGAATTGTTTGTAGCCTAGGGTTTAAATGTTAGTTCCCTGTGCACCAGACTGGAAAATACTAACAGTTGGGATCATGTTTTTGCTTATTATTTACAGAAAAAAGATAAGAAATAAATTATGATAAATAAATATTAGTATTTTATGATATGTTAAATGAAATCCCAAGTTTACTGAAATTTACTACAAGAGTTTTAAAAAATATACTATTTTATGTTTAATATTATAACTTTATCTATATTTTTATTGAAGGGGATGTTAACATTTTCATATATTTAATTTGGTTATGAAATTATGAATATTTCAATGAATAGAAAATGTAACACATTTCATAGATTTCATATGTAATTTTAGTTTACAACTGCTATCTTGAAAGCTTGTATTGTATTTCTAAATTATCAGTATTTAATATAATATTATAATATAATATTATATAATATAATATTAATATTAAATATAATAAATACATCTGAATATAAAAAGGAGTCATTACAAGAGACTCCTAATGGTATAAATAATGTCTAGAGTAATGTTAAATACAACAGAAAACAACATGTGGAAATTTTATTTTCTTTATGTACACGT